AAAAATAACAAATATAATGTCAAACCGGAGCTACTGGCAATGGTGAAAACAACCTGCATAGGCTCATGATATCTGCACTGCTGTCCTGCCACATGAGGGACCAGAACTGAATCAGGACTAAACCAGGAAGACTAAACCAGGTCTAAAACAGATCTAAACCAGGACTGAGTGTCGGGACGGGCCCGGAGGTGTGCCCATGTAGACCGTCGGGTGACCGCTTGTGAAAGGACCGGCGCAGAGCTGCCACCGTTTTCTCCTGGTCACCCTGTCTCCCTGTCTCCCTGTCTCTCTCTCTGTCTCTCTGTCTCCTGGTTTAATAATGATTTAGACCTGGTTCAGTCCTGGTTCAGTCCTGGTTCAGTCCTGGTTCAGTCCTGGTTCAGTCCTGGTTCAATCCTGGTTCAGTCCTGGTTCAATCCTGGTACAGTTCTGGTTCAATCCTGGTTCAATCCTGGTTTAGACATGGTTTTGTCCTGGTTTAGACCTGCTTTAATCCCGGTTCAGTCCTGGTTTAGTCCTCCTGGTTCACTCACGAATTGAATATCCCTACTTATAAAATCCCTACTACACCACTGAGCCAAACACTATGACGGCACACTCCCTTAGTCCGTTTATTTATACAGTCTATGGTTGAAATACACATCACATTTCTAAGTAACGAGACTGTTTTATGTGTTATGTGTTGTACCTGCAGTGGACCACCATAGGCCCCATGTCCGGTGTCTGTGCAGCTGACGAGCGATGGACAAACGTGAGCACTGGGAGGGTGTACTCGGGGACCCCCATGTCAGGCCACTGGGTGTAGTGATACTGAAGCACTGTGCGCTCTCCGTGTGCACGGGCTTTAGATGATCCTCTGGTACCCTGTAAAAGTAAAGTCAATCATAACATAAAACAACATAAAACTGAGGTAATGATTCAGCCACACTCCAGTTTAGCAAAAAAAAAAAGTCAATAAGAACTCAAGTGATAGTAGAGATTAAAGAGTAAAAAAATAGAAGATACATCAATTCTAAATCAAAACGAGGTTTCTCCTTTGAACAAATATCTAAAGCATACAGGAAAAAGTAAGTAAGACAAATTTTGACTTTTTCAGCATAATTTTAGAATGGTCTTAATCCAGGTCAGAACTGGTGGTGGTGGTGTAGTATGTTAATACTAAAGAAAATAATATTATCTTGTGTAGAAAATTACATTATATTATCAAAAAATACTAGGGATGTAACAAAAACCAAAATATTGTGATATCGTATCATCAAAAGTCTCAATAATATCGTGGGCTGTCACAATATATCGAATTACAAGTTCCTTTGCGTAAATACATGGTTTTATAGTAGCAACAGCTTATAAACATAGGGAACTACATATCCCATGATTCATTTCAGTGCAGACAACATGAAGATATGTTTTATACTAGAATTCTTGGGAAGAATTCATGTTTTATACTTGAATTCTTGGGAAATAATTCACACCAAAATCTTGTCAAGGTATTTTAAAAGCAAAAAAGTGTCCCATCTACAATTATATCAGCCTCTTCAAAATATCGCAATAAATATCGTAACGTGAGATGCATATCGTGATAATATCGTACCATGAGATTTGGATAGAGTAACATCCCTAAAAAACACACATTTTATCAGGGTGGTATCGGGTATTAAAGCATCAAATTTCTTGGTATCAAAAATTAGTTTGAAAATGTTCTGACAACACCAGTGCAGAGAACTAAAGACATTAGTAAATGACATTGTAAGCCAGAGTGATCCCAAATTTAACTAAACTAAACTTAACTTAACTAAACTTAACTAAACATAGCTAGTGCTCCAATAAGATTTTAGCAATAATATAACTACATAACCTTACTACAGGCAAATATGTTCTATATTCAAATCCCAAAGATACATAGAATGACGACAGAGTGTGTAGATGATGTAGATGAATGCGTAGGCTCTATCTCACCTTCTTGACCCTGGTATTGCGCAGTGTGAAGCAGCGTACGGTGTAGCAGGCATAGACCTGAGTGCTCTTCAGTGTCACCACGATGCTGCCGTACTCTTCACTGTTCTCTGAGGGCCAGTACTGCCCACACTTCCTCTGCAACAAGCAACACAACAGATATTCAAGTACACATAACATACTATGGGGGGTACTTGAACATGATGTATGATACGGAGAAAATGTAATTAAGTTAGACTATATATTTTGGAGTGAAGATAAACATGGACACAATTACAAATGTTATCACGAATTAATCACAAAAACTTAATAATAATGCATGTCTACAAAGCCTTTATACATATAATAAAGACTACCTACTAATAAACTAGGTCACAATAATTACTATATCGATTTGAGGCCAGTATTTATTGTGTGCACATATTCTTTGCACTACCGAGAAATTTTGTGTACTTTTTTTGGCTATATTTAAACTGTAATAGGTTGAACAAATAACTTCTATGACTCATAAGGTGCAACAATATTCTAGGATGATTTTGTGGATTAAATCTGCTCTTGGGTTTTTGTGACAGTGGCATAAACACGTTTCAGTATTATCGTTTATCATCTAAATTTACTTCAGCTATATATATCACACCGCAAAATGTACCAGTTGGTTATAAATCATGAACCAACTGCAATTAACTAATCATGGACTAAAAATGAAATGCTCATCACACTAATCATGAACAAAAAATTTAGTACTTATTTAGACAAATGTTTAATAAATCATTAACTAATCAGGTAAAATAGTTGTAGTCATATCTATAACTCATATGTGAACTATAAAATTACATATAACAGAACATACAAGCATTGATTCATAGTCTTGTGTAGAGACGTGTGTTTTTTTCATTTTCTTTGCTGACAGGATACTTGTGGACACTGGGGCCCCTAATAACAAGAGCTGCACCTACCCGGCCCTTCTCCACTAAGTTGGTAATCATCACAATGACGCCAGTGTTTTGTTCCCACACCATTCTCCAGAAGTCTTCGTAAGTGGACTTGAGAGGTCCCTGGGTGGCGATGTATGCTTGGCGTTTATTATAGCCCTATATGGTGGAGAAGAAATATCACATAAGAAAAACTATAAAAAAGCAACACTCGCCTATATTTAGTACATTAGTTTGATTTGTTTTTATTGTATTGCAAGTCGAACACAAAACCTCCTCTTCAATTTGCTGCTTAGGGATGTCAAGATTAGAGTAGTGACTATTCAAGTCAAGACTTCATCATAAAAACTACAAAACATAAAAGTAACAGTAGTAAAAGAACATTTAGAAGTAAAAATATATGATAATGGTTATTTGGTCATTAATAATGCGTAATCATAAAATGTTTTTCCCACACAACTGGAACAAATATTTTTATCTTAACATCCCTGTTATGTATTAAAGGTCTGGTCCCATATTACGCAAAATTGACTCTTGTGAGCTCCAATTCATATTTTACTGTTGTTACTTCATCAAAAACAAACCTGAACATGTGTTTTGTTTCATTCACACGTTTGAATTATCCTGGATCATTAGTCTGTCTACATCTCCAAAGCTCAAAATGCTTTGTTCCACCTTGTGATGTGTATAGTGGTAGTTTTCAAGTTAATAACTACTTTTTATGGTGTGTGGAGTTTAAAAACACAGTGGAGCACTTCCTGTATTAAGGTGGAGAAGAGCGTTTTCTGTTTGAGAGAAGAGGTAAATAACTTTAGAAATACTGTTTTATAAATAAATGCCTTAACTTACATCCACATAGTTGGCGTTGATGTAGTCATTATGCCTGGACTCTTTCCCTGTTAGTGGCTTCAACTTCACTCTGGTGTGATCATCTGAAGAACATGAAACAAGACAAAATCCAAACATTACTTTAAGTAAAATTCCACATTGGATTTTATTTCCTCTGAGATACGGAAGAGCTTCTTACAGGCCACTATGTTGATGTATCTGTTCTTGTGCTTGTTCTCAGCGTGGTTGGAGTGCTCCCATGTGGTCCTGGTGTCTGCGGCACAGCGCTGGATCTCCTGCTCAACACAACATTTTAACTGTTAATAATTACACACTATTCAGCAGTGTAGAGATGAGATTGAAAAGTTATTTTATTGTGACAGGAGAGCAAATAATTATTATCATCTCTGTTAACTTAACATAAAACTCTTGAAAAAAGTAGTTCCCAATATCTTCTGAATATTGTTAACATACTGGTACACATATACAAAAGACAGTTAGCCATGGATGGCGCCACCTAGTGCCTCTGCTCAATTTCATTTCTCTCCAGCGACTACAGTAGGTCAGAAATCTGAATACAATAGACGGTTCGCAAAACCCCGGAAGTGAGAGTTTGGGCACCAGTCAATCAGCGAAGAGCCATATATTCTGTGTTGGCAACAATACCCGAGATCGAGGATTTAAAGAGAATGTTTTGGTGAATTTGATCAATTGGAAAGACGTTATTGCCCTTCTTCCTACGGGATTTGTGAAAAGCTTAATATACCATTTAGCCCTGTTAGTGGCGCATTACATACGTCACGACCAAATAGCAGAGATTGGTTAAATAAAAAAAGTACCTGCCTACTGTCAAGCGAACAAATCCTAATGCTGCAGGGTCAGACGGTTTCCACAAAGTGAAACCGGTTGATCAATCAGGCTAATCTATCTCTATAGGGACAAGAAAAGTGACCCAGCAGGCCTTGTATTTTTATTTTATTTTTATTAAAGAAATAAAAACACTTGTAATTGAATAAATGCAAGATTGATTACTGTGAAACTTTCCAGGCAAAGCAATAACATCTCCACGGAGACAAGCGGGTGGGCGTCATTCTTACATATTCATCCATATTTTTTAATCTTTTTGTTTCCCTTTTTTCTACGGTTCGTGTATATCCAAAGATTGCATAGGAACCAGCCCCATCTCTGTCTGGCATGTTCATTTATTTCCATGACCCCAGGGCTTGGTACAACATGTCAGGTTTAACAGGGAGTAGAGCTGTGAGCAAATTTAGACCCAATCAATTCCACCATTCGCCTGGAGGACCCGTATCTCTCGTGTATATATATATTTCTATTTAATAACTCACACTTTTGCTTACGGTACTAAAAATGCCTGTGCTATTCCAAGGCCAGCAGTGTGAGAGTGTGTATGGGTGTGTATGGGTGTGTATGGGTGTTTAATGCTGAGCCCCTGCCAGGCAAACAGCTGAGGGGTGCACACCAGCTAGCCCCTAAAGACAGAGAGGAGAGAGAGGAGAGAGGGAAGAGAGAAGAGAGAGAAGAGAGGGGAAAGAGGAGGGAAAGGAAAGAGAGAAAAGAGAGAAGAGAGAGTGGGGAGAGAGGAGCGATAAGAAAGGAGAGAGGAGAGAGAGGAAACAGAGGAGAGAGAAGAGACAGAGAAGAGAGAGAAAAGCAAAGAGAGAGAGAGAGAGAGAAAGGAGAGAGAAAGAGAGAGGAGCGAAAGAAGAGAGGAGAGAGGGGGAGAGAGGGGGAGAGAAGAGAGAAGAAAGAGAAGAGATATAAGAAACGAGAGGAGACAGGAGAAAGAGGAGAGAGAAGGAAGGAGGAGAGAAATGGAGAGAGAGAAGAGAGAGACAAGAAAGAAGAAAGGAGGGAGAGAGAGACAAAACGAGGAGAGACATGAGACATAGGAGAAAGAGGTGAGAGAAGAGAGAGGGGGAGTGGAGAGAGAGAAGAGAGAGAGAAGAAAGGAGAGAGGAGAGGGGAGAGAGGAGACACAGGAGAAAGAAGAGAGAGAGAGAGAGAGGAGAGAGAGAAGAAAGAGACAAAAAAGAGGAAAGAAAGGATAGAGGAAACAGACGAGAGAGAAGAGATGATGAAGAGAGAAGAGAGAAGAGAGAGAAGAGAGGGAATTTGGCAAAGACCCACCTTACTCACTTCCTCTACAGCTTAACACACTGTGGCTGCACTGCTTGTTGTAGCTCTATTAAAGTCCGATTCAGCATGTGATGAGGACAGGGCTATTTTGGGGCAAGGGAGAGTCCATACTGCCCCGAAGAAGTTGTAAACATGATAGTACAGGAAGCCAACTGGAATAGGGGTGTCACCTTGTATGTGTCATACTTAAGACTTTTAAAAATTTGATCTGATATTTAAAGGGCACATATTACACTATTTTCTGATCTATGTTGTAATGCTGTTTCTCAAACAGAAAACACTCTGTTTCACCTGGTGATGTCATGGCAGTACAGGATGTGCTCCACAGGGTTTTTAAACTCCATACATTTGAATCATTTGGATGATTTCAGCACTGGAATTGACAATCTCCACTGAACTAAAACATAAATGGAAGCTGTTAACTTGAAAGCTACCACTATGTGACATCACAAGTTGGAACAGAGCATTTTGTGCTTTGGAGATGTAAATGGAATAATAAACCAGGATTACTCAAACATGTGTGAAACAAAACACCGCTCTGGGTGTGTTTTTGATGAGGTACCAACATTATAACATGGCTAAAAACTCACATAAGTTTTGTTTAATGTCTTAGAGGTCCGGTTGAACAAATTCATTTTAAACATTATTAATCAAAAGGCATCCTAACACATCTATGCATTCATTATCAAAAACAAATTAGCACCAAAAACTGTAGCTCTTCAGACCAGTACCTTGATCGGAAGTTGACTGAAGTTTAATTTCTCAAACATTGTTCATATGACTACCTTTGAAACTTTTTCTACCATCGCCAAAAGAACCCAAAAAGTAAACAAAAGTACTGTGGAAAAACCTGGGTGAAAAATATGTTTGCGTGAAGGTCATCTCTCACATCTCAAAATAACTATTGATTTACAACTATACCAACAATCCTGATCTGTATTTCATCAACTAGAGACCTTTTGTGGGGGATATCCTAGATCCTACTTTCATTTACTGTGGGTGATTCAGATTTACTAACAGTTTATGTGTCACATTATATTTACCAGAAAAACAAGCTCCAAAGGTTTAGTGACAACTGTACTGTATCTATATATGGTTGGTTGAGATCGGGTGACTTGCATGTCTCACCTCAAACTCTTCGGAGAATCCATGTTGCTTACTGGAATGGAGTTGTGACACGTGCTTGATGAAGTCCTGGACGGAGACTGCCTCTGTGTCATCTGCAAAAAGACAAATAAATGAAACCCTTGAGTTTTCACATTCTTATAAAATTATGCAATATATTCACTTTTTTAAAATGAAAAAACATACATAAATCAAGAAAAACACATTTGAACATAAAGGTGCTCTATGTAACTTTTCTGGTTTGCTTGTTTCCCTGGAGATGTTATTGTCTTGCTGGTAATATTTCATATTATGACAAAAAAACAAAAAAAAGAAACAACTATATTGCATGTATTAAATTAGAGATGTTTAATTGCTAAAAATACCTAGAAAACATTCAGTCTGGCTGTGAGCAGGGTCGCCTCTCCACAGATCTGACTTACGCCATTATAGAAAAAGTAATAACATCACCATGGAGACAAGCCAGTGACAGTGACCCTCCACCAGAAAAGATGCTGACTTACTGGCTTTTTATTCTACTGTTTGATTTGGTTTAGTGTTAGTTAGTAATCAGATATCAATAAATAAAGAGAATAACTAACCATTTAATTCAATCTGACTGTCCTGCTGTATGTGTAGTAATACGAGTACATGAGAGTCAGAGGCTGCACGTTACAAATCCACAAAGAGGATTATGGGATGTGCTCCGGCTCAGCTCCAGGTCTGATCTCATTCTATCAATTACCACAGCTAACATATGTCCAAACATCAGTGTGGCCTTTCCCCTTCTCGTGCGTGTGGAGCTCCCAGCAGCAGATATACGTTACATAGAGGCTCTCATATGACAGCGCTGGACATTCTGAGCAGGGGGCAGGGGGGTAACGAGGGGGGAGCTGTGTAAAACCTCAGTCAATCGCCATAGTGAGCAAATTTCGCAATGTTTTAACTACGGCTTCACAATTTGGGAAAACTATAATTGCAATTTTTTTGACAAGCATTGCAATTGAGATTTATTTGCTTATTTATTAGGATCCACATTAGCTGTAGTTTTCATGTCATGTAGCTAATTTTCCTGGAGTATTAAAAAAAAAAAAAGTTTACAGCTTTAATTTCATAAAACATCTTAAAAACAGTATAAATAGTACAAAAACAGTTTTAATTATTTTTGTAATTAAAATGTTAAATTCTTACATCATCCTTCAGTGTGACACAAAAAATATTGCAATATTCTGTTCAAAGTTCACATTTTAAAAGTGCATTGTCATTTTCTGGTGGAGGTTTTGACAAATGTTTTTTTCCATGGAGATTATTGCTTTGTCTGGAATGTTTCACAGTGTGGTATTAAACCTTTCTATCATCATGGAAACCAAACCAGACCACTTTACAAGTCAGATCTGTGGAGAGGCAAACATCTTCAAAGTCAGAACTCCTGTTTTTTCAGCTATAAAACCACCTGTAATTGAAGAAATCTAAGGTAGAACAGTTTAATGTCATACTGTGGAACATTCCAGGCAGAGCTATGGCATCCACAGAAACAAGCAAGTGACAGATCCCAACCAAAAAGTTACATAGTGCACCTTTAAACACATTCAGAAGAATTAAGAAAAGGACTGAAATATGAAATTAATCACACTTCAGAAGATGTTTGTTCAAATTTAAACTACAGCCTTAGCAATTTTTATGCTGAATAAGAGGATATTTTGTTGTTGGTAGAGGAAATTAAAGAAATTAAACAATTTTGGCTTTTGCAATTTGCTAACTGCATTCTTTCAAATTGCGACCTTGCAGAACTAGTTTGAATCGAGTGACAGAGGGTACTGTATATTCAGATCTTGGATGTGAGAAGTAATGAAAGTCTACTCATTCATAGCAATTGATTTCAAACAGTTTTTTAGATGGAAGTGGAGAGAAATTGTGGACATGTTAATTTGGTTTGGTCTTTTTTTTCCATTAAAAGTGCACGATGGAACTTTTCTGATAGAGGGCGCTCACCAGCTTGTTGTCTTCATGGAGATAGCTTAGCCTGAAATGTTATCTAATATGAGATAAAACTTCTCTGACAACATAAATACATGTAATTGAATAAATACAAGATGTGGCCAAGTTGCAAGTTTAATGCCATACTGCGGAATATTCCAAGCAAAGCAATGGCATCTCTTTGGAAAGAAAGAGGTGACAAGTACTTTTTTTTCAGCAACACAATGACTGTAATTGATTAAACGCAAGATAGATGATAGATGTTTAAAGCCATACTGTGGAACATTCCAGGAAAAGCAATACCATCTCTTTGGAAACAAGCAGGTGAATTTATTTTTGGTAATACAAAACTCATGTAATTGAATAAATGCGAGATAGACAAGCTTAATGCCGTACTATGGAATATTCCAAATAAACAACATCTCCATGGAAAACCCTTAAAAGCTAGAAAAGCTAAAATGGAGTGTGTAAGATTTTCAAGATTTATTTCAGGGCTCATTTGCTAAATAAAATTCACCAACTCTAAAACGACTTCACAACTTTAAAATGGCAGCAATTTGGGTTCACCATGTAGGCCTGCACTTGTAAACATTTTAAATGAATTAAGTAGCTATTTTTTTCTATTGCAAAAATATAGTGTAAAAAGATATGTGAAAGATGAGCACTTTAGTACAGAAAAAGCTCTCAACTTTGACCCCCGATGCGACCTCCAGGTGACCCTAGTTAGTACGGTGAAGCAGGCTAACCTCATAACCCTGACCTAAGCTGGATGAGTTCAACAAATAAGACCCACTTTCTGCTCCATTAAGCAGGCTTATAAACACACCATCCAAAGCAAAGTTGTTCCACATTTGGTCAAAAGAAGATCAAGAGGTCACCACAACAACCTGCTGGGGACTGGAGACCGGCCATTAAAGTGCAAAACAGATTTTTACGTTATGCCAATTATAACTTGGACGAGTAAATCATAAATCATTCGCCAAGTGACAGTTTGTGAAGAAAAGTTGAAGATAAGTTGAAAAAAACATTAGGGATTTCAATTTCCATCCATAAAAGCCAAGCCAGTTAACATTTATGTGCAAGGGACACATTTTAAGCAATACGTTTTCTGGAAGTTCAAACCTTAATTTATAATCTCACTCAAGTAGGGATGTAACAATAACCGAAATATCGTGATATTGTATCGTCAAAGTTCTCACAATAATATCGTGGGCCATCACAGTATATCAAATTACAATTCTCTTTGCTTAAATTAAGAGTTATGGTAACAATAGCTAAAAAAGGACAGAGGGAACTACATAGACTAAAAACCTTTGCTCCATTTCAGTGCAGACTGCATAAAGAAATAACAGTTCTAAGCACTTTTAAGTCTTAGTTCTTTGGATTAAGTCTTGTCAAGACATTTTAAGAGGAAAAAGTAGCATATTCACAGTTTTTTTTAGCTCCACAAAATATCGCAATAAACACCGTACCGTAAGATGCATATCGTGAAAATATCATACTGTGAGATTTGGATATCGTTACATCTTTACTACTACTTATTGTGAATTTGAAATAAGTAGTTTAACCTGTCATAAAACCTAAGCTATGGACAGGGGCATTTTCATTCAGGCCATGGTAACAGTGGGAAGACACACACAGCAAGTATACAGATCAAACTCCAAAATACCAAACGCCAAAATACCATAGCATGACGGTATACTTTGGTTACCTGGTATAGTGACTGCAGATGAACTGTCGCTAGGCAGAGTTCTAGCTGAGGTGCGGTCCTCCACGTACAAGTGGTGAGCCTGGAAACAGCGTCTGCAGAAAAAAACAACAAAGAAATAAAGAGTTTATTTAGGTTAGCTCTCACATTTCTGTAATAACTGGATATTTGTTGACAAAGTTGAAGATATCCATTCTCTTGATACACTAATCCTCCAAATATTGTTTTAGAAAGTGGAAATTGATAGTCTAATAGTAATGTAATATTCAGTTAAGAAAACATGACACACTACTGAGCAGGAAAAGGAGCCAGTGCATGTTTAGAGTCGCTTGTTACTGTTATTGACCAATGACTGGTTCACTGTTGGTTAAATCAACAATTTTGTTAAGCCCTGTGAGGAGACTGCTGTTGTGATTTTGGGCAATGAAAAAACACATTCAACTGAAAAACTGAGTGAGATACTGGATGTTTAAAGTGTCACATTTTCAGTGGTGGATGAAATAGTCTATTTTGTTACTTAAAGGTGCATTGTGTAACCTTTCTGGTGGAGGGACTGTCAAATGCTTTTCTCCATGGAAATGTTATTGCTTTGTCTAGTATTTAACGTTTCTATCTTAATGGAGACCAAAACAAATGACCAAATTATTATTATTATCAGATCTGTGCAGAGGCAGCCCTGCTCATAGTCAAAAGGCCTATTTTTCTAGGTATTTGGGGCAGTAAAACCACCTGTAATTGAATAAATGTAAAGTAGAGCTGTTTAATGTTACTGTGGAACATTCCAGACAGCTGTGAGATATCCATAGAAACAAACAGGTAATGGATCCTCCAGTAGAAAAGTTACACAACCTTTAAGTAAAAGTACAGACTCAAAGGTAAAAAGTTCCTACAGTTCCTAAGTATCACATAAGAAAATCTACTCAAGTAAAAGTATTTAAGTACCCATTTTTAAAAAAGTAGTATAAGATTAAACAGTAAAATTGTGTGTTATAAATTTGTTAAAATGTAGTGATACTAAGCATAATATATACACATATATTTGTAGCAAGTAATACATTTCTTATTATTTCTCATGAATTTTGTGTATTTATTTTTATGTGCTCAGAGCTGAAGCATGGTATTTAGATGGTAAAATAACCCCTAAAATCATTTAAAAAGTACTTTTTACTTTTCAACCCAGTTAAAAAATGTAGAGGAGTAGAAAGTATAGATACAGACTTTCAAATGTAGCAAAGTAAAAGTAAAATGTATCCACTAAAAATTTACTTAAGTAAAGTACACATACCTAAAAAGTCTACAGTACAGTGATTTACTACTTTTACTTTGTTACCTTCCACAACTGCATATTTTCTATTGCGTAAGGGGAAAAAACTAGTATAACTCAGTGGTTCATACTGAATGTGGGGTGGTGTTCATGCCACAATAAGTTTATCTGTAAGGGCAAGATAACAATTTGGCTGGTACTACCACTTGTTAGTGTAATGATTCAGACATTTCAATTATGATACCAAGTAAAACTATGAGCAATTTCAAAACCACAATGACAAAAACACACAGATGGGATTTTCAACACAAAATATTAGTAGTTTACCATGAATTCTCTCCATTTTATAACTATTCAGGAATGCTCCACCCTGTCTATCTAAATTTGGGTGTTGCTATTTTTTCAGTATTGATACCTGCACAAACTGGTATCTAGTTTTTTTGGTATTAGTTTTAATATCAATTAGTATCTGGGTATAGATTTTTTGACATACCTGTTGTGTAATTGAGCAGGAAGCAGGCAAAAATACGCTTCTCATACTCTATATTCATACTCAACATTATGTAATCACGCATTATATAATCAATTTGACTGAAGCTGGTTCTACTGACATTTCAAAGCATTTTTAATTTCAGTGTAGTAACAGAGCATCAAAAAGATAGGATTTCCCATTTAAGTTAAGTTGACAAAAGGAAAATGAACAACAGAAATACACTGGAAAACTATTCAAAACAAAGGTAAACAATTTCAAGAGACATGGCATAGATAATGTTCAGATAAGTTGCCAGTCTGACAAGTAACTGCAAATGTTGACAGCCATAGATTAAGCATAATCCATGTAGCAGAAGAGCTCTTGGCGTGTTGACATAGTTTCTAGAAGTTCAGTTGAAATCAGACCGATAATGATTTACGTTCTTATTGCGTCATTCTCTATGTTCCAAAGCAAGCTAGTATACAACCACTCTTCAAAAGCACTTGTCTAATCTTACACCCTTAAAGGCAAAGTTATTTTTCTCTTTTAGAATCAACAGGTGCCTCCTCAAGAGAACGGTAAGTGTTTTAGGAATAAACTCGTACGCTATTACACCGAGGGAATTGACAATGCAAATTTAAATCATTGAAATACTAGACAACGAAATCAAAATAATTTCAAAATAACAAAACAGCAGCAAGGTAAAAGTAAAAAAATGAATGAATAAATAAACACTAGAAAAACATTTATGCAACATTTGCAAATTTCAACATTCTCTGCACACTTGGTTCTATTTTGTAAACACGGTGCAGAATTGTCCAATATTTTTTTCTGCTTTCTGCTCACCTAATATTTAAAAGTTGCATTGTGTAAATTTTCTAGTGGAAGATCCGCCACCTGCTTTCTCCATGGAGATTTTATTGCTTTGTCTGAAATGTCACAGCCAACCGGGCCGAGTTACTGGTCAGATCTCTGGAGAGACCACACCATTCACAGTCAGAATCTCAGTTTTTCTGGGTATTTTTGAGCAATAAAGCCACCTGTAACTGAATACATGTAAGGTAGATCTGTTTATCGTCATATTTTGGCAGAACAATGACATATCCATGGAAACAAAAAGACGCACAATCAACCAAAAGCAGCACTATAAAAGTAACCAAAAATGTAAAATAGGACCATGAAAAACATACTTATTTTAACCAAATGATTTCTCAGATCTTTAACTTTCTCTGAACAATTACTAGGTATTATTTTGTAAACTTAACAGCACAAATTCATCTGCTTTTCACCTCAGGTTGATTGACTATTGAGCAATGTGTTTACAGCTAAAAAGCACATGTGGAACTTATAGCCTTCTTTACTTGGCTAACCTAGAAAATAACTTGAGTCTTTTTATTTTATTTTCTTGTGCGCATACCTGTACTTGACACAGAGAAGGGAGCAGAGCGCATTCATCCTGCTGAGAACGAGGGGCACGGGTTCAGCTGCCACATGCTGCTACAGATCCAAACTGTGGCTCAACTCTCAACTTAGACTCACATGTGCTGCCTGACAGGAGGGGGCGGAGCTTAAAGAGCAAGGGGGCGGGGCCGAAAGGGCAAATGGGAGGGACCTAAAGGGCAAGGGGGAGGGGCCTACAGTGCATAAAGGCTTTCTTTTACACACTTCACATTTTACACATGCTTCTACAATTAAAGGGTTTCAGGGGAAAAAAAAAAAAAAAAAAATAATAAATTAAAAATGAAAATACACACACAGACAAAAAAAAGAATAAATACACTGTTTAAAAAATAAAATAAAAATACACTAATCAAGAAAATAAAAAATACAGAGAAAATATATAAGTTGCAAATGAAAATACATAAATACACAACAAACAAGAAAATAAAAATACACTAAAGAAGAAAATAAAAATGCAAATAAAGAAAAAAAATACAAATAAAAATACAAAAAAAGACGGGAAATAAATATTTTAAAAAAATAGATATTTTTCTTGTAATTATTTTATGTGAATCCAAAGCAAATAATGTTAAGTTGATCTAATTTATACACTTATTTAACATAGAATAATAAATGGAAAAGATGACATAATATATATTTATTCAATTCAATTCGTTTATTTATACAGCACATTTAAAACAACTTCAGCAGCTTCACATAAAGTCAATAGTTTTAGTGAAAAATGCAATTAATTTTTTATTTATTTTATTTTAAGTAAGGGCTTTCCTATGAAACAAAAGCAACACAACAAGATGAAAGGTGAAACTAATTCTCTCAAGTTAGACAAATAAAACTGATAACCTAATGTAAAGAAGAGGGTCTGAATACCACAATCCAGCTGAGTAGGCTACTGTTTCTGGACTTGTATACTGTTATGCAAGTAAAACACACACACAAACACACACCCACGCACACAAACACACACGAACCCACACAAACACATACACACACAAACTGACTGCCAAACACTTCTGTGACCTAGCACTGTACTGAATTACGTGCCCACTCGCAACACTAGCCAGGCCTCCACGTCAACTGACCATTTTGTCCTCCTCTCAGTTCTCTATAGGATGAAGTCAGCTGACTGCGGTTAGGGTCAGGTCAGGTTTTGTAATACCTTAACCCCCCCTCTCCTGACCTCAACTCACCTCAAGGCTCTTACTACTACATATGCTATACATATACTGCTACTAGAAAGCGGCTACAGCAATCATCATCGCTATTGAGTTGCACTGAATTGGCTACTTGCTCTTGAGTCACAGTAAGTAGCCTAACTAATATGCATTATTTGGCAGGTGATGGTGTGGTAGTATATATATAGAGTGTATGAGGCAGGTTGAGTTACTGCCACCTGCTAAACTACTGCCACCTGCTGACCACTACAGGTAAATTGCGTTCTCTAGTTCACCCCAAAGATTTTCTTTAAAGGGCCCATATTCCATTTTAAAAAAAAAATCTCTGTTATCATGTTGTTTCCTCATCACAAACATACCTGCAGTTATGTTTTGTTTCATTCACACATGTTTAACACATTGATCCAGCATATTTAGGCTTCCCACAAACAAAAAACACTCTCTTCCACCTTGTGATGGCATGTGGTAATACAGGAAGTGTTCCGCTGTATTTTTAAACTTCATACACCTTCAGAATCATTTGAATGATTTCAGCCCTGAAGCTGCCAATTGCCAGGTATGTTTTTGATGAGGTAACAACACTCAAACATGGCTTCAAGCTCACAAAGAGTCTGCAAATTTTGAATAATAGACATTCTTTAACATAATTCACGTCATCTACAGTGAATATTTAACTCAAAAACACAGAGGAAGGGTGAATACTGTATACTGAATATTGTAATAATATATAATGTAATGGAAGTATATAATGTGTGCATTAAATAGGGTGAGCTTACTGCCATCTGCTGACCAATACAGGTAAATTACATGTGGTCCCCAGTTCAAATGCTTTTACAACAACATCCTCAATCGATATTTGCAACATATATTTTACTAGTAATACATCTCATTTTGATACATATGATAAGTAATTGGAAATCATTGGTGAATTAATAATGGGCAAAACTTAATGAATACTTACTGTTAACAGAAAATAAGTTTTATTTATTTTTTATAGAGTTTATAGAGTTTTAGAGTTATATTTTGTTTCCTTTTTGGTCAGTATGGCTTATTCTTTGGTTGTAAATTTAGTTAAACATCATTAATGTTTATATTTGTGTTTATTATTTAATTTGTTGTGTTGATGCTTCTTACGTTGATGAAGACTATTGTATAACAGATACTATGGATAAAAAAGAGGTTAAAAAAATACATCAAATACTGTGTGGGCTTACCTGCAGTAGCCAAGAGCAGTCAGCAGCAGTACAGTACAAGCAGAGGTGAGAGCGGAGAAAGTCAGGAGGGGTAGGGGCCAGTCCACATGGGTCACATCCAGGTCCAGGTAAATATCTGACCCTCTTGGCCTGCATAGAACGGTCATTTCACTGGCAGCTTCTGAAAAACAGAGAAAATAGAATTTTTTTTTTAGATTTCATCAAGCGTAAGAACAATGCATTTGTAAAAATGTGAAGGCATGTGTTAGGCTAGTTATATCAATATTTCAAAAAAAAAACTTTCCAACTAAGTATTGCTTGACAAAATATTAAAACCACCAGATTGAAAACAGTTAAAAATGGGAGTATTTTAGGTCTAAACAAGGGCAAAAATTTGAAAGACTGAACTTGTTTTATACACTTGGCAATGGTCCAAAGTTATTCCTCTCTTACCGTATGCATTCTGATCATTCTAACTATTCACTGTGATGATTTTATAAGTGCTTTTTAAAGATTTCAAAGGCCAGATCAGCGTCACAGTAATGCTAACAACAACTAGCATGCTAACCACTTGATTCCTGATTCTCGGACAATAAAAAAATAGATGCTGACAGTGCACAGCAGACTTCATTTGCTGCTTATGCAATATATCCATACTGAGGTAAGACACTAGACCATTTCGTTATTAAAATGGAGTTTAGAAAGTATTTTATTGTTATAGTTCAAAGTAATAAAATAAATAACACAATGAAAAAATATATCCTACCACTGGATGCAGAGATATTTCAGTAAGTATTTTATTTATTTATTTATTTTTTAAATAACGAAATACAATTTAGCCTGTGGAGTGACAGAGAGTATAAAATAATTTGAGCTATTTTCCCAATAATATTCCAGATCTGTAATCATGGTAAACTGGCAAAAATGCGTCTAAAAATACTGTGGAACAACCAGAGGAAAGACCATTCTTAAGCAAACTACTTCTTAAATGACTTTCCTCCTAACAGAATAAAGCACACCTCGGCTGCAGCCCCACCCTTCGCCAATCCCAATGAAATTTGTTAAATGCGTTCTGACAAGGAGATTGAGGAAGTCATTTCCGGAGAGCAGGGCTTTCTCTTCATAATAATGTCTGGGCCTGCGTTTGAAAGCAGCTCAAATTGAATTGCCGTCCCTGGGTATTTGCTGGAATAATGCAGTGTGCTGAGGCTGGGAGAGCAGCGCTAGTGGATCAGCTCTTAGCTTCCAGCGAAACCATGTTAACACTTAGCTTTAGCCTGTCTCAAGCTAATTCGTTTACCTCAATGCTATTCATAATCACTCAACACAGGTCTGGAGTCTTAAATGTGGAGGTCAGAGGTCAATATGCCTTTTATTAGGATACAAAAATAACATTAGTGTCGGCACTTTCGAAGTTTCATTACATCTTCTATTGTATCTTACTTTAGAAAGCATTAAAAGCTAAATGGATTATTTTGTCTAGGTCCAAAGAGCTCTTAAGTGAGAGGGATTATAAAGTATCTTAGAAATGAAAGTGGAACTAAACACTGACTCAACTTTTCAACAGTCAAGAACAGCGTGCTGCTTCCAGTAGCCTCTGCAATTACAAGTACTATGTGACATCACACAAAACTTGTTTACAGCCAGATGTTTCTGATTACAAACAGAAGGCTGCAGGGGCAGAATCTGAAGTGTGGACCAGCGTAGTTTGACCAATCACATTGTTCCTTGTACCTCTAGATCCCACCACTCCTCCCCCCTCCCTCTCTTCTTCAGTCTCCAGGCACTTCCCAGTTTAGCAGCTCTATTTGAAATATGGCTGAGGGCGGGGTTTAGGTGTTTAGGCCCACTGTGGTCTTATAAATAGAACATGTTTACAGTTTGTCTGAGGACACAGTTTTATGATGTTTATGAATATTTAAGGAAAATCCTCATCCATAATATAATGATTAGGTAGATTTTTATGCCAGATGTGCCCTATTCTGTATTTTACATCTTTTAATATAAATATGTTTGCTCACACACACACACACACACACACACATTTGGGTGGAAATAAGTGAAATACATAACTTGCGTGACTCACCAGTGTGCATACAGTTTCTTTGGCAGTCTGTGTCCTCTTCTGTGTACTCTTCTTCAGTCTCTGCTTGTTCTCCGTCTGTGGAGTCATCTGTTTTGTTTCCTTCTTTTGATTTTCTTTTCTTCCTCCTCTCCTCCTCTTCCTCTCGCTCTTCCTCACCCTCCTCTCTGGCCTCCTCCCTCTCTTCTACAGTCGTATCTTTGGTTCTCTGTGCTGGTGTGGAGGGCCAAATGGAGCTAGGAAAAGAGGAAATGACCCCACCGCTGAAGCCCAGGCCAGCCAGGAGGGTACTGGTCAGGACGGACGCCACGGTGGCTTGACTCCCACTGGAGGAGGGGCCGATGCCTGTCGCCATGGAGACGAAGGAGAAGGGGATTCCAGAGGAGGTCCAGGTGGAGGAGCCCGAGGAGATGGGAGCCATGTCGGCCGAGGAGGCGGGAGACACTGTCGGCTGCAAAAATGTTAACATCTATTGAGTTGAGGTCAGTTGCAAATCAGTCATCATTCGTTTTATGTTTTGTATTTTCTATTTCTTTATAATTTTTTACATAAGCATCTACGTATTTTTTATCAATTTGCATAATATAAATCCAAAAAGACGCTCTACGAATAACATATACTTTGTTTTAAATTTAAAAGTAAGGTGAATCAAATAATTTCTTACATTATTCAGAACATAAAACAATATAATTAGATTTTTAAGACCTATTGTGTGTGGAGAATACAGACTATGTTTACTTGTGTGTTTACGACACATTATACTGACCTCTGCTGGAGGAACAGACCACTACAGATTACTTACCATTCCAGTCTTCACAATCCTGGTGCCCTCAAAGATCCTGGTAGTGTTCGCTAAAATCACAAAACAAAAATAATACATGATTTACAAGATTGTACGATGATTTCAATATATTTGAATATTGAATATATTCTAAAGGTGGATTGTGTAACATTTCTGGTGGAGGGACCATCAAATGCTTTGCTCCTTGGACATGTTATTGCTCTGTCTGGAATATTTCATAGTATGGCTTTAAACCTTTCTATCTTCATGGGGACCAAACCAGACCAAGTTACAGGTGAAATCTGTGGAGAGACAAGCCTGTTCACAAGTCAGAATGCCTGTTTTGAAAGTAAGATGGAGCAGTTTAATGCCATACTGTGGAACATTCCAATCAAAACAAGCTGGTGACGGACCTCCAACCAAAAAGTTACATATTCACCTTTAAGCCAGTTGTTTGGTAATGTGTATAGTACCTCTGAACAGCATGCTCTGGCTGAAGTCACTGCGCATGTCATTCATACACACAGCCTGTACTCTGAAGAGGTACAGCACATCCGGAGACACAGGGGAGATGATGGCCTCCTGCACACAACAACAACAAGACCAGTCAGTTACTACAAAAAAATAGCTATGGAGTTCTAAAACAGTCAGAAACTTATGCTGAATTACACTGATTTTATTCTTCACCCATGACTTTGCAGAATGCCCTTCCAAAACACGTGATCTTCTTATTATTTGCAACAATCAATATAGAACACATTGTCATAATATTCTTGATTCAGAGTCCAACTCCTTTTCAATTAGTGGACCATTAATTCTATTATACAATGAGAATGTTTAATACATTTTAAAAGTCCTATATTACACAAAACTCAAATGTTCTTTAATGGCTCATTTTCTTATTTGAGGTTGCTACAGAAATTTGACTTTAATTCTTTTGATTTACCATGAGATAATTTTAGGCCATTGATCTGTTTTGAATTCAGCAAAGGTCAAGTATTAAACTACCATCTTTTGAATAACCCAGAAAGAAAAAAAAGAAATGCTAATTGAAACTGTAAATACATTTTTGTGTGTGTGTGTGCAAGGGACATAAAGACATTTTGTGAGCTGAATAGTAATCCAGTGTCAAAAGCTGGATGATGTTCTTAATTGATCCAGGCCCTTCAGCAACTTGTGGTTTGTATAAATAAGATGAAATAGAAGTCAAGTCCTTCAAATCTGAGGACATATTTCTTGACCAGAAAAGAGCGGTTTGCCCTTTTGCAGGTGGCTGAAGAGCTCATATGAAGTTCAAGTGTCTTGGGTCTTGTTCAAGTGGGAGATAAGAATGAGAGTGAGATTGACAGGCAAATTGGTGCAGAATCCACTGTACAGCAATGTACTGATCTGTTATGGTGAAAAGCAGAGTCAAACCTTTACAATGGTAAACGGTAAATGGTCACATTTTTATATAGTTCTTTTCCACTTTCAAGCCACTCAAAGTGTGTTACACCAAGGAACCACTCACACATTCATACACCAGTATACACAGATACTGGGGGCAAGGTGGGTAAAGTGTCTTGTCCAAGGATACAATGACAGCATTAAATGGGAGCTGGAATCACACCAGTTAACCTGTGGGTTGGTGAATCTGACTGCTCACCAGTGATGTTTATGTCGAAAGCGGGATTTGAACCTTCTGATCAGTGGACAAGCGCTCTATCAATAGAGCCAACTGTCACCCCAAGAAGAAAGTAAGAAACCCAGAGCATTTATATTTTTAGTTGTATATTTTTTGTTCTGGCAGGTAGAGAACCAACTCTAGTGACTCATGTATTTAGAGACACAAAAACAACAACAATTTTTTTCATATTTTTATATCCGGTTGTGTACCCAATTATATCAAGGGTGCAATCAATGTCAAAAATAAATTACATAGTTTTTGTTGTTGTTCAGTTACTTGTTGACTCACTTCAAGTCAGAACAGGTGTAAAATAGGCCCCTGCAGTGTCTGAATCACCATAAAGTTTGTGCTCACAAAACAGTGTTTATGCATCAAACATGTCAGGCAGGCAACTTTACACAGGTGAGTATTACGTAATACGAGAAAAAAACACTTTAATTCAGTTTGATCAAGAGTATAAATAATTCAACGTAATTTACTCACTCTTGCTCATAGCCTGGTGTGAAGCTGATATCACCTGCAGTGGTTGGTTGAAGCTGAGGCTAACAGTCATAGTGGTTAATTGGCAACCAAGTTCTATATTTGGAAATCTGAGTGTGCAACCAAAGAGCCAATCAGGAGCGAGGTTACTGGTTACTCCTTCCTGTCTGGACTGCTGGTTTGGCAAGGTGCGGATGCTTAGCAACAAGGTGCACTGTTGTCAATCAAACCTGATGCTAATAGTGTCTGGAGCCAATCTCAGGGAAAGAAGGCACCTGATTGATCTGTTATTGATGTTCATGTCTTGGTTTACAGACAAAATAGTGAAACAAAAACCACAGAATCATGTAAGTGGAAGAAAACTGCAGTTACAGAGAGAGAGGCAAGAATTTTCCAATAGTCAATTGGAACCAGACTCAGATGGACCTGGTTCACAGGGTTGCACACTTCCTATCAGTTTTTGCCAACTTGCATCAAGTAGCAGATTGCACAGGTTCTATCAGGTTTTTATATGGCTTTTCACATACTTTAATGGATAGAGAGGGTCATTAACCTAACACTAGAAAGTTGAAAATTTCCTTGTTTTAATACTGATATTTGGACAGTTAATGCGTGTTTTCTTTGGCGTTCACATTTGACTAAATTAGCCACTAGACCCAGTGCAGGTGGCAAAAAACGATTTGGAATGTGGCGGCTAGTGGGCGAGTTACGTCCATGTACAATCTTTGCTGTTGCTATGCTATTCCAAAAAACACACCAGAAACTTTTGAAGCAAGTAACACCACACCTACTTTAACATTTTACAAAGTGTTCTGAGGTATACAAGTACAGGATAATTATAGATCTTCACACATTCCAGTAAAAGTGTGACAAATCCTAAACCCTTGTGGAGTCTGTGAGTTTGTGAGCATTGGCACAGTGCGCCCGGTGAGGGGGTAAAACTGTGGAGAGTAGGGCTGGGAATCACAGGGTCCCTCACAATTTGATACGATGCACAATACATGGCTCACGATGCGATATTATCATGTCATCAAACAGTGAATATGTCAAGTGTATAGTATAAACAAATTCCTTCCACAAAATAAGTAATGGTATCTTTCGTCTTTGCGAAAAGATACCAAAATACTCTTGGCGATATATTGATACAGAAGCCTATGATAACAATACTACATCACCACGATATCATGACATACTCATAATTTGATATTTTTGCACACCTCTAGTGGAGAGGCTAAAGGGTTTGTGAATCACTATCTCACCAGATGCTCCTTTCACAGTTCTATCCACTGTATCTTCTGGTCTGATATTTAACTGCGTCGTACATGTGCTCTTACTTCTAAAATATGGAACATACTCTACACAAGATGGCACTTCCTCCCACAAAAGGCTGTCATTGATTGGAAAAGGTAACCGTAAGTAACAGTCTGCTGGATACTGCCATATGCGTGGCACAGTGGGGGTACACTGCAATCTGATAAGAATATTTTATGTAAGCTGTAAGAAAACCTGTTTCTCACTGTGCAAAATGCTTTATTAAATTGACTGTATATTTGAAAGTATATCTCTATTCCACACTTTTCAATTTTATGCGTTATCTCAAACCATGGGCATCAGCATATGTTTTCCTGAATAAAAATAAGCAAAGGCAGTGCTGTTGGGTACCACTTTATAAGATAAGCTACGATAAGAGAACACTTATTTGTCCCACAATGGGGAAAGCTTCGGTGGTTGGAGCAATGGTTGGAGCTGTTGTTGTGTCCTTAGGCACCTACACAGCCAAGTATGAATGTGGTGTGTGTGAGTGCTACTGTTCATCAGAGCGGACGATTGGGCAGATTGGCAGCCCATCAGTTTACCCCAGGGCAGCTGTGGCTACAAAGAAATGGAGTGAATGAATTATTGTTAAATAACTATTAACTGGCCTATAGCATGCACAAATATTCCATTCATAATGATATGAATGATTAAGAATGATTCACTTAACTAAGCTGTCATGGGTTAGAAGTTAGGGTTATCGTATTTAGAAGTGAAGCACTAAACTAAAATCATTCTTAATAAACCTTCTGTTCATTATAAATTAAGTCTGTGTTCATCCTTCATCCTTCCTATTAAAAGTGTAGACATTATAAAGAGTAAAAGTGTATAAACTATTGTATAAGAGCATGGTAGATACAAAGCTATGGCCAGCACTTCAAACAACAACCTCTATATTTTGTACACAACAAACTCAAGATAAATTCCAAGAAATTAGAGCTGACAGTTCTGACCCCGGGGTGAGATTGAGAGTGCCACTACAACCTCAAACCACACTTTGTAATGTGAAAAAGGGCTTTGTACTGCGCCAATAAAACCAAAAAATAATGTTGCAGCAACATTCAACTGACGTATTTTACACATTTTAATGTTTGTAATATTAAAATTTATATTGTACTTTATGCCCCTTTGTGTATGGTTGGTTTTTAATTAGCTTTTATGTGAGTATATAAATATTAAAGATATGCAATCTTTACAATATTAAAGTCTTACATTACACCCGCAGTTGTGCTTTTGTTTCATTCACACATGTTTCAGAAATCCTTTATTACTATAAAGGTAATAGGTATAAAGATATTTTTAAAAAGCAACTAAAAACATTTCTCTTTGAACAAGCGTTCCCGCCTCCTCAGGTTTAGAGCTGCTCTAACTGATTTGATTTTATTAAGAATGTATTTATGCTGTTTTTATCTTTTGTATGTGAAGCACTTTATGACCTACAGTATGTCTGTGAATAAGTAAACTTCACTTACATACTTACTTATTATTTTCCTGTCTACATCTCCAAATCGCAAAATGCTCTGTTCCACCTTATGATATCATGTAGTGATAGTTTTTAAGTTAAGAGCTACATTTTACCTTTTTTTTTTAAAGTAGAAATTGGCAAATTCAGGTCTGAAATCATCAGTGTTATTCTAGTTTAGGTGTATGGAGTTTAAAAACACAGTGGAGCACAGTGAAAAAACTCATGCCAAAACATGCAGCATTTGTAAGTTATACATGTATGAACGACACAAAATAAAACTCCAAGTATGCTTGTGTTGAGGAAATGACAGCCGTAATATAGCCCCTTTAATAAAGACTTAAATTGGGCATTAAAACTAGACATTATAATATTAAAATTTGAATATAGCATATAAAAATGTGATACTAGATAGTGTTTAATAATAAGAATAAAACCAAACAAAACACATAAGCTCATAAAAAGAAAGTCGGGCATTATATTAGGTCTTTTTGACTGAGAGCAATATACCACTATTCACAGCCTTTTCTGAATTACACTGTTGTTATGGCCCCTTTCACTTCAAATTTCAAGTTTTATTATTTGCCACAAATTTCTGGGTGACATTTACAACCTTAAGACGATATTAAAATGATGGCACAACAGGTAGCATTCTCTTTGTTTGTAGCAGTCTTTGAGCAGTGCAGACAGTCAGGGGGCGCTCTCATCTGCAGTTTTCCCCACACCTGCCCAAGGTCATGGTTAGTGCCCGGACAGCATCCCTCCTCCAGCCCCGCATTAGTATTCTGTGTGAGATACAGACCACTGTGAGCGAATTGGGCCTGGTCTGCTCCTGACCACAGCTGCTCTGCTCAGATCAGACGCTTAATATAATGTAACTAACACAATAAATTACACCTTATGGCGTTTGGGTATGTGGGTTAAGCAAATGATGAATGTTATAACTCTATTTAAAAGGCTGGCTGCAGTCATTTAAATATTATTTACATTCACAAACATAATTTTATAGTGTTTTGTTTTTTACTATAAATTTTTAACAGCATTTTGTCTTGCCCCAGAGCAAATATATTGTATTGATACATTGCAGTGGACATTCCCAGGGGGTGTGATGCTATCTGTAGGCACTGCTATGTCTGAGGCTTGTTAGACTATAATCTAAGCTTTATTTTAACACAATCTGATCAGAAGGAACACACTTAGTTGGAACTACAACAGGTGAGATGAGTTTGTGCTGTTAAACAAGTCCCTCTGAAATAAGCCAACAGTTTTTCCGTTAGTCTCCTTCACCTTTTTTATGGAAAATCAAACACCTAAACTGGACCATAAATGCTTGTATTGATCACAGGCTCCTGAAAATATAGCTGTGGCACTGTTTGCTCATTTGTACACTGTGTCTTCCATGATAACAATCTGACAATACACATGCATGTAGAAACCCCGCTTGCGTGATATCACTGCAAAGTATCAATTAGCAGCTCTTGAGGTCAAAATAACTCTGCTAGGTGCTGTCTAAAACTAATTATAATCCGATAATCAGTTAGTGTTGGCATGCAAAGCTCTGTTACCTTTGCTGTCACTGCAAGACAGCATACTGGTATTCGAAAGCTGTGAAAAGAGCTTATGAACTCATCACAGTGAATAATGAGGATACACAGAACGCATAAGGTAAGTGAGGAATAACTTTGGACCACTAAAAAAACATTTTAAATGATCTAGTATTGTTTTTAAGTAAAAATCACATATGATGCCTTTGATCTTGGGATGTTTAATGGTAATCTGTTTGCTTGGCTGTGCATAAAACTTTGAAGAATATGCGCATAAGAATACATGGTACCATTGTAAAAACTGTCAACTTGTATCACACTCCAAGATATATTTTAGCAAATAGTTAAAAGTCATTTTGCTTTAGTAAGTCTAATTCTTTTCTTCAAGGCATTAAAAATAATCCCACCATGCATTTAAGAGAATTAATTCCACTTAATTTAGATTACATTAATGAGTTAGACTTTGCTTCCTATCTTGCCCCTGATCTTGACACTAGCACTAGCATTAATGAGGGGGCGTGTCCAGGTCAGGCTGTATTTCACTGCTGGAGGCTGGAGTGGGACAGTACAGTTACATATATGGTAACAGCATCTGCACCAATCTGTGACCGCTGTGGCATTTAAAAGCACTGTCAGTGCAGGTAATGGCAGCAATCGTTGTTGCCTCATTATCAGGCTGCAAAGAGGGGTGTAGGGACAAATTATATATCGGTACAATAAAACAACTCCAGAGAGGCACCAGGCATCTAAAATTGGATGGGCCTTGACAGAAATGTCTGGGTTTATGTTTCGAACACCCTGCGTGCCCCTCTCACGCACATGCACCCCTGTAACATGAACGTGCGCATACATCAACCTTTTTAGTTTTCTCAGCATTTCTCAATTCATTTGCCTCCCATTACGCTGCAGACCAGTGTCTATCTCATACTCTCCCTATCCCACAGCAGACCCACTGCCTGCTTCTCTCCCCCTGGTCGCACCTGCTCCCGCCTGTCCTGGCAGTCCGCTACCGCGTCTCTCACCTGAGCAACGAGTTTCCACTGCTTCTACTGCTGACCTCTCACATTCTCATCTCACAGGTCCACAGCATTTGGTCCCACAGAGGTGGATGTCTCACTGATTATGGAATAGGTTTATTGTCATATAAATGTTTCTGATGTTACAGCTTTGCGCACAGACATGGATTAAACCATTAGCACACGGGGAGGGTGACTGCCCGACCTGCATTTGCCCCGCACAAGTGACTGACATGTGCTGTGAGCGCAGAGCATTTATCATTCTACAACATTTCCAAATAAAAGAAGCCTTGAGCATGTTACATGTTGTTTTTTAGTAGACTAGTTTGATGTTCACTTTTACGATTCTGGCAACTCACTGAACGTGCCACACTACGCCCTCAGTCCACTTCACTCCATCTGATGTTCAGGCACAGCACACCTCTTGTTTAAAGCTCCATGCCCCACACTTGCACTAGTGCTAAGTTCAGGAGCAAGATAGGGCCCTGTACATTTGTAGGTACAGGCAGTTGGAATGCTGTTGAATTTTACCACTAAATAAGAAAAATAAAATCCGATACCAAAGTAAGCAGTAAAAAGACCAGTGAGAATGTATCAATGGTGTCAAAAATTTGATGGTGGAGCAAAGGTGTCTTGAATGCAGGAGAATAAAGATAACTCAAACATGCATACATGATTCACTAAATAAAAAGGAAAAACAATTATTTATAAGAAATTAAAATCTCTTAAAAGTAGATTTCCTCACCAGTTTGTGTCTAGCGTCGGTGAGGTGCGTCTCCTCGTAGCTGTCGTCGTGGGCGGTCCAGCTGTAGGAAACCAGGAAGTGCAGGATGGGCGGATGGTAGGTGATCTCCGGGTGGGCCCAGCGCACGACCAGGGCACTGCCATTCACATGCTGCACCTTCATGTTGTAGGGGGCGCTGCTGCACACTGCCAAACAATAAGAGATCAAGAGTGAGAAAAAAAAAAATATGAAAACTGAAAACTTCCATGGAGACAAGCAGGTAGAGGACCCTCCACTAGAATTGTTACACAGTGCACCTTAAAATGCAAATTATAAAAAGAAAAGGAATATAATTATATCCTGAGTTACTAAAAATGCAATGGAATTTAAATTTATCCTGTTATCAATTCTCTTAGATGTTATTTGACAACTTTCTAAATAATAAGCAATTGACTAAACTAAACTAGACTAGACACCACAATCAGATGTGAATATATAGTACATGCTGCTGAGTTTTATAAATTAGTATGCAGTTTATACATGGTTAAAACATCAATAACATAGTCTATCCTATATATCCATATACAGAAATGTACTTGGACTGCAGGGACCGTTATGACCACTAGATGTCTCTGTTTGAGCAGCAAGCTTGCGCCCCTGTTCCTTACACATTGCACTGCCCATAGACTTAATTCCCACTTTGAATAATGCAACAGTTTATCAGCAGTCAGCATATTAATAATGGGCCTATTACTAAATCTGCTAAGCACTTACTCGGTGACCTTCAAGTGTTTATTTTAGCGGAATACTTAAGGTCCTCTTAACATTCATACATAAGTAAAACATTATCTAACTGAAATTCATGCACAATGTATAAAATTCTCAGTTATTAACTACAAAGTAAAGTTTTTCTATGAAATGCCTCAAAATTGGTTCCAGACATCTGTTCATAATACACAATTTTTATATAATTATGCACACAGTGAGTATGGACCTTGAGCAAGGATTCAGCGTTCGTGTACTTTTGGAGACAGCTAGAATACGTTGAATTCATGTTATAAACTATTTGACTTCATTGAAAGAAATATACAAACGTGGCCCACAAATTTGAACACGATCATTGACTCCACAAACTTGCCATAATAACATATAGTAAAGGTACAGTACGTAATTTTCTGGAGGTTGCAAGTCAACTCTTTGGTTCTATGCAAACAGAAAGATTTATGAATGTCCCATACTTTGGGACATTCATAAATGAACAGCATTTCCACAGAGACGGGCAGGAAGAGGTAGAAGAGGTAACCTGATTCATTAGCCGGTTTCACTTCGTGGAAACTGTCCTGACCTCGCAGTGTTAGAATTGATCGTTCAACAGTAGGCACGTACTTTTTTTCATTTAACTAATAACTGTTATTTGGTCATGATGTATGTAATGCGCCGCTAACGGGGCTAACTGGTATATTAAGCTTTAACCAAATCCTGTAGGAAGAACGGCAATAATGTCTTTCCCCTTGATAAAATTCACCAAACATTCTCTTTGTTCTGGCTTTAAATTCTTGATCTCAGGAATCGTTGCCAACACAGAATGTATGGCTCTTTGCTAATTGGCTGGTGCCCGAACTCGCACTTCCGGGGTTTTTGCGAACCGTCTAGTGTATTCCGATTCCTGACCTAGTCGCTGGAGAGAAATTAAATTGGGTGGAGGCACTAGGTGGCAGCAGTCTGGCTAAGGAAGAGGCCCTCCTCCAGGCAAAATAAGAGTCAGGTTTGTGAAGATGCAAGCCTCCTCAAAGTAAGGAAGCATCTATGTTTTTCAGTGAATTAAAGACAAACAAACAAACAAAAACCCAAACCTACTCTTATTTTAGTTACATACTCTGTCTTTAAGCTGTAGCTATTGTGATATAGATATAGTTTAACCTTTCATTTTTGTTGACAGATAAGACACTAAACTCTGTACCAGTTTTTGTTTCATGTGAATAGGCCCAGTAATTACAGAGATAGTAAACCAGGACATTTAAATCTACAAAGTGAAAGCTAAACAGCAAATTCTCTCATATTCTAATGTTGTGCTGTCACGTAAACACAAGTATAAGCATGATAAAAAGCAATGAATCCAAACTTAGATCTTACTGGAACTATCAACTATTGTGATGGTTCAATAGCTCAAGCTTGTGTGCTATGTTATGAAATGCTACCGGGGCAATGCATTAGCATAACCAACACGGCACACAACGATTATTCCAAACAGTGTATTATATTATGCAAATGCCTCAGGTAATTCAATGATGAGCACAGGTTCATTGAGATTAGGGCTCACGTGCCTACCCCAAACCAAATTGATTAGCGCACTCATAAAGTAGCAGCAGAGTTGTTCTATTCACAACCTGTGCAGTGGGTCCCGCGTGGCCTATAGCATTACTGAAAACATTAGTCTCTCACACATGCACATGCTGGAGTCAGCCAATGACCTCTGCTCAGACAGGCCATATTTAACACATTAAATCAGGCTGGGCCCAGTCAGCCGTGCCCTGTCTGACACCAGGGGGTCTCCACATGAATATACAATCAGATCACAGTGCCATACACATGCAAATTAAAATTAAACGTATCCACGATTGCTAAAAATGCAATTATCTGGTGAATTTTCATAGAAACCTAAATGAGAAGTTGTCAAGGGGAGAGCTAAATAGCTAGTTAGCGGGTTTGTTTTCAGTGTTGCAGCCTTCAGAACTACTGGCAATAAAACTAACTCTGATTTAGTGCTCTTTTTATTACAATGAAAAAACAAATGCTTAAATGTACTGTGAAGATCTATTTCCATTTAAATAGATTATGTTAATTGAACTATGCTATAAAATGCAAATGCGTGCTTTGATTTAATTCAGTATACATATTATGCCAATGTGACATGACTTCAAGTGTTTTATTTGCTTATAACTATAGTACACCTAATTTTATGATCTAGTGAATGTTTTGAAAGTAGGTCAAATAGTAAACAATAGACTTAAACAAGGACTATAGGCAAAATCCTCAATCGACGGCAGTACTGAGGAACCCTATTTCATTAATTATTTAATAGCTATTGGCAACACCTTTCATCATTCTATAGCCCATGGATAGTAATTCACACTAACCACATTTACATGAAGTTTAGTACTTTTTATTACAATGAAAAACAAAACAAAAAAAACCCTTAAATGTACAATGACACTGGTAACACTTTATTTTAGGGTACACTTATTAACATCTAACTACCTATCTACCTTCATCTAATTAGCATAGTTGTAGATGGTTAATTTGTCATTAATTAGTATTCATTCAGCCTTTATTAAAGTCTAATTCCCCATAAGCTTATTCTGCTATTAGTTTTGGACATTGGATATTTACAAACACTTTCCTATTAATACACTCCTGCTTATTATTATGATAATAGGCCATTTTTGTCCATGAATCATGATTCTAATAAGCTTTTGGTAATAAGTGTATTGTTAAGGACTAGTAGCACAAGAAATGTAGGTTTTACTTATTTGCACTTAATAAATTTTGCTTACTCTTGAGTAATAAAACACTCTCTATTAGGTGTTATTAGAGTCCAACTAGACATGAATTAAGTCATTAAGCTCTAGATATGTTCCCCATTCTAAAGTTATGTTTTGATCGTAGTTAATAAATGACTAGTTTGACACAAATTAAAATGAAATATGGTCCCAATTCTAAAGTGGTCTCTTCTTCACACTTAATTCATGTATTGTGACATGCATATTAACAGTTCATGTATGAATAGATAGTTCTACAAAACAATTCATGGACAAAAATGGCCTAGTACCATATTATTAAGCAGTAATAAGGAGTGTATTAATAGGAAAGTGTCTGTAAATGTCTAACTAATAGGAAAATAAGCGTATGGGAAATTAATTAATTAATAAGGGCTGAATTCATGGACAGTACTAATACAATACTAAAGTGTCTAAAAGTCTATTTCCATTTAAATAGATTCTGATAATTGAACTATACAATGCAAATGCTTTGATCTAATTCTGTAAATACTCTACATATTTTGTCAATATGTTTTGAAATATAAGTGTTAGGGTATATTTTGGATGAGGAAACAACATTATAACAGATCAGAAAATAACGTAATATGGGCCCTTTAACAATGCTCATTATATTACACTAAACCCTTCTACTGCTGTCCTTTGCTTCAGAACTACACATGTGCCTCTCTCTGTCCATGTTTGTGCCTCGGCGAAACTGGCCAGTCCCTGAACACAAGGCTCTGTGATGAAGAGATCCTCTCCCAGCTTTCATCAGAGATAAGCGGCCCTCTCCACACTCACACACAGGAGGCATGCGAGGTGGCAGAGACTGATGGAGGGGGGGTCCAGTCAGGGGCCTGGAGGAGAGGGAGGAAGGGGAGGAAGGAGGGCTTTACACAGGTGGAAGTGCTCTGCTCTCTGAGAGGCCATTTGGCGGAGGAAAGGACATGTTTGGCCCCACGGCGTGTTGACCACAGTTGATGGATGAGAGGGCCTTGATTGTGGGGTGGGCTGTGGGCCTAAGCTCTGGAAGAACCGTACCAGGAGCATCTGATGGGAGCTGCTCTGAGCACGATCTAGTTGGCAGCATACAGCTAACAGGCTGGAAGACACACTGCTGAAATGTGTGGTTATTGATAACATATCCTCATATTTTCTTCAAGTGATTTATTTGCTTATAGCTATAGTACATGTCATTTTTAATCTTAGTGAATGTGTTGAAAGTAGGTCAAATCGAAAAGTATACTTAAATATGCACAATTAGCAAAATCCTAATATAATATTTTGTTTGGGAACAGTTTTCATCATTCTTAGAGATGTAACAACCAAAATATCGTGATTTCGTATCGTCAAAGTTCACACAATAATATTGTGGGCCCTCACAGTATATCGAATTACAAGTTTATTTGCTTAAATTAAGAATTATGGTGCTAAAAAATAGCTAAAAAAAGACAGAGGGAACTACATCAACCATGATCCTTTGCTCCATGTCAATGTAGATTACAAGAAGAATTAACAGTTCTAAGCACTTTTAAATCTTGTCAAGGCAATTTAAGAGGAAAAAGTAGCATATTAGCCTCCACAAAATATCGCAATAAATATTGTACTGTGAGATGTATGTCGTGAAAATATCGTACCGAGAGATTTGGATATTGTTACATTCCTAA